GAGAGTTAGCTAACAGTTGTCAAAAGAATACAAAAACGTTTTTTAACAGTCGTGCTGGAGGTCGAGGCACCCGATAACGATCGTGTCTTACCGGGGGCCAGGCGGACCAGAGTGGGCAGACGGAACTTGCTGACCACCGCGTCCAACGGCAGCGCCAACGGGCTCCAAGAGATCTCCGACAGGCTCGCCGACAACTTCTCCATCCTCCCGGGTCATCACGGTACCGGAGATAATGGTGATGGTGATGGTGAAGATAATGATGGTGGTGGTGTTGGTGGTAACGATGAAGAGGAGGAGGATGAGGGTGATGGTGGTGGTATAATGTCAAAGAGTTTCGCCATGTTTGAATGTTGGAAATAGGCAGCGCAGTCACAGTGGGTGCGCACGAGCGGTGGGAGGGAGCGCGAGCCCTCTCTCTGTCATTATTCAGTGGTTGTCCACCCCCACACGTCCACGAGAACAAAATAGCAAACTCAGGCAAGCTTTGATTTTTATCACTATGTAGATATCAAGCATAAATGTCAAGGCGCCTCCTATTAATCTTTTCGCGCGTATTGTTGATAAGCTGCCCTGTCTCTTTATGTTTTCCCCATCAATTATTGCAACACTTTGTCCACACAGCTTAATCTGAGCAGGTGTGTAGGTGGTAAGCGAGAGACGCAGGGACCTTTTCTGGCCTGTTGTGGGCTAATTTTTAAGATCCCGCAGTTTCAAGAAGCCCATACAGAGATGGTATGCAGCATGTGAATTTGAGCCTAGCAGGGTCAGATAACTTCATGAGGTACAATTTTGAGGTACCCTACAGCATTTGTGCTTTCAGTTTTTGCTTTATGGTTTCTACTTTTACTTCCATGTCAGGCAATAGCTATATTTACTCCCCACTTTGCAGATTGGAGGTTTTACACACAAAACTATTATTGAATTTATAAAAATCCTATGCATCGCAGTAGTTCATTGCAGTAACCAGGGGACTGGGATCTAGATAAATTTGAGGGTTCGCAAGATGACTTACAGTAAAGATGACAAAGCAAAGGCTGCTTCTGCTACACAAAATTAGGCTATTTATGTTTTCTTGACTTTTACTTCTTCCGTCCTCTTAACAGTTATTCAAATGAAACAATCTAAGAAGGGGGGAAAAACTACTCTTTAGTGGAACTACACATGACTCAGACATATACATGTTAATTTTCAGGGTTCATAAGATACAAAGGTTAGGAAACACTGGGTTAAACTGCCAAAGGTGTGCAGTTGTTACAATTAGCTCCTCCTAGGTCAAGTACAATATTAAAATGCTTCTTACTTGTATTAGCAAAAAAATAATCCAGTATAATATACTTTATCACATCAGTAGATAGGACGACCGTCAGTACTCATATACAAAAATTAAAGGGGCCATTTTCTGCATAATAAGAACTTTTACATCTGATTTTATGTTTTACTTAGATTTTGTGTGGAAAAACTAACTTATTTATATGCAAAACATTTTCTGTGGGGCGTGTACTGTATATTTAGGCATCCATGTCATGACAGCTGTGGTACTAGGAGCAGGAAGAAACCTGAACAGCTCCCACATCAGACTGTAGTACATTTATTTAATGATGTAGCATTAGAACAAATTCATGAATGCCTACACACCGGACCAGTATCTCATGATCCCTCCAATCAGAAGCTATCGATTCCTCTCAGTCAGTCAGTCAACTCTACAAAAGACCACTACTGCATCTATGACATCAATAAGACAATAATAAAAAATGTTCATGTTTGGAGGCACCTAGCCTGTTTTGGGGGTGGACTTTATGTTTGACAACGAATGAGTTGCAACAGATATGATTGCATGACTTAAGCTTCAGTCTAGGTGGTTCCTAACAAAACGTATTGACACAAGATAAGTTCAGACTATTGAATTGACACGTTGATTTCAAACCATTAAATATTATATTGACATTTCATGTCCAACACTTGTGTGATTAGTTAGTGGAATCAGTTTATCCACCTCTTCACCCAGCACTAAACTTCTGGCCCCAGGCAGGACTCTGCTCAACTCCCTCTCAGTTCAGTGAACCACACTGTAAATAGAAACTGATTCATTCGCAATTGATTTTTTTTGCCAACAAACCAGTTGTGATGCTACAATCCTTTGTGCAACCAGAGTGAACAGTTATTAAAAGAATTATATAACTGATGTTAAATATACCATTGTAAATATCAAATGTAAAAGTAATAGCGCTGAGTGTGCATATGGAGATCGTCATTATCATGTGGGTTCACCCCATTACAAATATTAGGTTAAATTAGTGATGTCTGGCCTCCCAGAACAAGCAACTAAATCCACACCCACTCACAACCAAATATGGCAGTACTGTTTAAATTAGTTAAAATGTAATCCCAAAACATTCATTGGCTCTGAATAGCTCACTCATTGTCTCCGGATATGGCAAACACTAAGACACAAAATGGTCCCAAATGTGAACTGATCTACTGATGAAATGGAGTTGTCAGACCGTATAATGCAAGTCTCAATCTGCATCAGTAAGCATCCCTGAAAATATAGCAAAATTGTATTAACCATATATAAAAATAAACATTTTCTGTGGAGACAAAGTGTTCTGTAGAGAAGCGCCTAATGTTAATTTTGAATACATTATTTTGTTAGTAGCTTCTTCTGTCTACACTCACCACTGAATAAAACAAAACAAAAAAAGTCATGTGGCATTACTTTAAAGCCACAACAATACAAAAATAACACCACCAATGAAAAATAAAAAGTTGTGGATAACAACTTTATTTGTTCCATATTAACAAAAATTCAAATATGAAGCTGAACTTCTGGGCTAACGACTGGGGCATTATTTCACAGCAGGTGGAGGGGTGGACATCATGGTGGAAATTCAATGGGCAGGCTCTGCAACAAGAGAGGACCACAAATAAACATGTTTGATGACCAAATTGATTATTATTGATGCAGACTCGTACATTTCTTATTAACAACAACATTCACTAAAATAGCCGCCACTGATGACGGGATTAGTCAATCACTGACATCTAGAGGGAAATATATGTAGTTGCACAACATCTGACTTTTGCTGTAGCATACAGTAGCTCACGATCACTGCTGCAAACTTTTTACACAGACAGAGAGGGCAATGACTGATGGCTTACCTAACCATTTTAACACGTGTTTAAAATGAACACACCCAAGTGCCCAAACTTGGTGCCATTGCTAATAAAGTTTGTTCTGTTCAACATATTTAAATCCAGGGTAAATTCAAAATTACAAGCATATTGCAGACAAATGTTTACTCAAGTGCAACATGAGGCCCACAATGGCCAAAACACTCAGAGATCTGGGGTCATTAAGTTTTTAAATTATATAGTTTGAATACACAAAATTTTAGGCTACTTACTGTCCTTTACAGCCTTCTTGCCTGGAAGAGAAACAGACATTATATTAGACACATTAACCCATACCTCTGAGAAACAGTGCATTTTAAATACATCTAAGTAATTATAGCTGCTTATGTATTCAATACTATGAAAACCAAATGTATTTCACACCTGTTTCTAACTTCAGTATTCTTAGGACAATATCCTAAGGCAATAAATTGTCCTAAGAATATATTGTATTAGGACAATAAAATGTAAGTATATTATTATTACTACAACTAAATTAGTAATCAATCAATCTGTGCTATGAAGTGCACCTATATTTTCAACAGTATAAATTAGTAAGACTTGAACTCACCCCCATAGGAAAGTTTGTAGTACAGGTATGTCATAATGCCAAGACCCACCCACATCTCCTGGTATGCCTTAGTGTAGTAAGGGCTCATCTTGCCCCACCAACTTGCAAACGCACGTCCAGCCATCTGTGGGAGAAAGCAACAGTCTCAAAACGGTGTTCATTTACTAGGTCAGTGCAATGACACAACCTCAAATAACAGTTTATTTCAGTAGAGGCATGACTGGAACATCAGAAGAACATCTCTACAGAGAAAGACTACAACAAACTAATTTACTGATGTGGTGTGCTTAAGCTTACCAGGCAGAACTAAATGTGGGCGTTTAATTAATCATATAGAGTTCATACTTTTGGCATAATCCATAAAATATGTTAGGTTGCACTGATGTTTACTGAAGCTACGTTTTAGAAACCGGTTCATTTTCTTGATTCAGATTCAATTCAATTAACTTGGATGCAGGACTCTGAGTGATACCGTGACCCTCAGCTGTGTTAGGCCTCAGTAATGAATTTGGCCACCTAGTAAATACTGATCAAAAGAAGAGGTAAAATAGCATTTCACTTTTCTTATCTTTACTGTGAGTGGGATAAGAGATTTTTTCATCGACGTGTCCAACCATGTATATTTACTAAAATAACGTAACGTATTTGGCTATGCTAGTTGTTACTGCTAACATTATAACTTTGATTCTGTAAGTTAACGCTAGTATCCAAGACAGCGTTAGCAATAAATGCATACACGTCGGTTAAAATAAGAGAGTATTTACAAGCAGACACATTATATATATATATAGTGTTTATTTAACTTGACTAGCTAACGTTAGCTGAAAGGCTCTGTGCTAGCGTCTTAGCATCTTCACTGGACAAACGGAAAGACTCCACTACACTTAGCAAGAAGCTAGCTAGCTACCTGAGTAAACCTGCAGAAGTAAGACACACAAGCATGATAAGTAGAGACGATTACTTATTTTTAAATTCCTTTCTTGAGGCAACAACTGCTTATTTTCTGTTATGATAAAGTGACTTTCCTAAATAAGAGCTAACTCTTCCCTTACCTTTCAGTTTGTCACGCTGCAGTAGGAAGGTCAGGGCTACTGCTAAACGTCAAAGTCGTGGGGGATGTCTTCTTCTACTCTTAACTGAGTAGTATTTAGTTCATGTTTTGGTATGTAGCGCCACCAAATGGAGGTAACGTTACACTATTAGCTTATTTAAGAGACAGTATGCCTACCTTTATCTGTTGACTCCACCTTGAGGACTTAACCATAAATGCTAAACTACAAACTTAATGTAATTATACAATCCTGTTGTAAAATGACATATACACCCTGTACCTTGTGAACACTGATCTTTTCTTCATCAAATCATTTTGCTGAAATCTGGGGATTATGTGCTGCTGACACCATCATTTTATTTAGATTTGTAATTAATTAATGAAAAATATATTTATTACAGTAAATGTATAGTGTAGATATCATGCTGTAACCTAAAGACTTAATTATATTAATTGTAGTCTCAAAATTAAATGTGATAAGATGTCATATACCATGTCACTGAAACGACATCTGCCAATGGAAACATGATTTCAATCATAGTTCTGTCAAAAGAATAAAAATAAAAAGAAGAATAATGGGTATAAAGCTAATTTTGGTCATTCTCAAGATTCCCTCCCTTGATGATTTTCTTACACTATGTTTAAAAAGGATTCTAAAAGGTGGTTCCTAGAAAGAGATTGAAGTTAAGGTTGTGGCAAATTTGATGGATTGGTCAGCCATCTGAAAACTAAAAAAGAAGTGGACACTCTAAATTGGCCATAATTGTGAATGTGAGTGTGATGAACAGGCAACTTGTCTAGACTGTATTACGCCTCTCACTCAATGTCAGCTGGGATTGGCTCCAGTCTCCTCACACAACCCTGCAAGGATAAGCGGGTATAGATAATGAATGGATGAATGGACATTTTGTGTAGGACCAAAGGCCAACAATTGGTCAACAAGAGTTTCTGGGTTTCATCTTGTTAGACGTTTAGATTTGCACATTGGCTTCATGTATAGGTAAACAATAATTGACCACTGAAATCTTATAATTACTCTCGTGGTATATTCAAGTCTTTATAAGACTTACAAAATTGACATGCATGGGGAAGTAAGAGTTTGATGGTGTCATATACTTGTTGATGCAATTAAACCCGATACCAGTTTTCAGTTGATGCTTTTATAATCTGTGTTTTCAGTAGAAATACACTAGAATAACCTTTTAATGTGAAAAACCCTGCCTTACTTTCAGTTTCAATCACACACTTTGCAAAGGAACAATTATTCCTTACTGTATATTCCTTATTATAATTATAACCATCCTGTTCTACGTTTTCATGCCTGTACCACTGCCATGACACACGTGGGAATTTGAGGTGAGGTTGCAGCTGTTGTGTGACACACAGACCTGCTCTGTCTGCTCACCATAGTAATACAACAAATAAAACACTGGCACTGATCTCAAGGGTAAAGAAGGCATTGTATGACATGATCTACTGTTAGTACACTCTCTTTTTGTTCAGGTGAAACAAATAAATAATGTTCAGTTTAAATTCAGTTATAAGCATCCTTTTCAGGTAAAGTATTAAATAAACTTGCTCCCAGTGATTACTTACTTTGAACTGTAATTAATAATGATTGAAAAGCTTTACTAGATCGCTATAACTCAATATGAAACCAGCTGAGAAAGTACAGGCAGAATTGCATTTTTAAAACTGTATATTGCAAAGTCATGAGGGGGAATGACCCATAAAAGGAACCTGAAACAGTTTCACAAATAATGCATCTTTTTCAGTGTCATTTTTTCTCAACTGTTACATTATTAAACTAGCTCACAAGTAAAAACAAGAAAAGGATAAAGACAAAAGATATAGCTAGTATAAGAGATTTGTGAGTATATGATTATCTTTTAACTACAGGATAAAAAGGTTGTATGAGAGTCTGCAGGAGTGGTTTGGGCCTGCAGTGTGCGTGGGCGGGACTTTCCACTCGTTTTTGTCCTCACGCTCCAATAACCAAGAGGCACCTTTTTTCATTTATGACCACCTAAAGGCCAAGTCCTATTTGAAGGACCTACACACAGTGGATCAACGCAGAGTTGTGCCAATATGAAAGGACACAGCTGAGGACATTTATTGTAAACTGTACACACTCTACTGGGTTCTTCTTTTAATGCAGTATGTTCTAGCTGTGTTCAGTGACTACAGCCCTGCTACAGGTATGTTGAAGATGAACTATTTTTGGATATCTTGCTCTTTCCATATACCACGGTTATTCCTCCTCGTTGAGCTCTTTGTTTCAGTGTTTGCAAGTGTCTACTTGCATCTATGTGTGTGTGTGTGTGTGTGTGTGTGTGTGTGTCTGGTAATGTAGGGTGTGGGTGGGTGCGTTCTCACTGAAACGTGACTAATGGCAGTGGAGGCAGCTAACTAATCTTTTGAAACAAGCTTTGATACTAGTATTTACCATCAGCATTTTCTTTTCTTTGTAGCATTGTGGATTGCAATTGTGCGGACAATTTACTTATCTCTGTCTCCTGGACCGTTCTGATGTTGATCTCGTGCTGTGGTTAGAGAGACTACATGGCTTCAGGTGGAGCAGAGGAAGACGATGGAGGCATTCCATTGGACATTGACAACGTGCACATGCTCCTCCAAGGTCAGTCTATTCCTGTGCTTTTGTAGATGTTGTGACATGTGATGTGCTGGGGTGGGGAATCATAGTAATGGCCAAACTATGAATTCTGTTGAGGCGATCTGTTTCTATGTGTCTTGCATTACTTTAATATGAAACATAACACGCACTAGGAATTCATAACCTAAAGAAGTGAAAATGGGAAGTGCTGAAAATTGATAATTGTGTGGATTTTTAAAAGCAGTTTGACTGTCAGGTTAAAGCTATTTAAAGTTAAAGTTATTTGTTTGCTATTTTGCATGTGTGGAGATTGCATTTTCAGGACTTTTCTGAAAATTAAAACAATCTAGTTAACAGCTAGTTAACAGCCATACCCTTACTCACACACAGGAGATGGCACTTGTATCATCCCACTTTACAAAATATTGCATATTATTAAGGTAATTGCAGCTTCTGCCTTTATTTTCACTTTTGAATTTGAGAAGAATCATTTGTGAAGAGCTATACTTTGACCTGAAAAAACATACTTGACTGATGCCATCTTACAATGGCCTGAAGTAAGAAGTTAGTGATGAAGCCTCTTACTGCTGTTTGTATTGGGCGTTCTAGCTGAACTGGGTGGAGTCGAGTGATTAAAATGCTCAGGAGATTCCTGCATTGGAGGCTCGTAAACAAACAGCAGACTCACTGAGTATGATTCATGGCCAAACCTGATATCTACATGTGTGAGTTCTTCAATCTGAAAGTGAGTGTGTGCATTTCTGATTGCCTCAGACAAAACCTTAAGTTCCTGTAGCTTTGAGTGTGCAATCTTTGTCATGTTTGGTCTGCAGGAAAAGAGACTTGAAGCAACATTGCACACTTTTTTATATACAGTCTATGATTGCACATAGATACAGAAAGTAGTAGGTAAAAGTTTATGAAAGCGATGCAGGCAGAATCATTTAATTTTTTTAAAACTTTTTATGTTGGAGACAGTTATTTATATTCTACGAATAATTTTAATTAAAGTAGTAAAATACTTATAATTTGATTCTAAACACCCATTATTTCTTTTGATGAAAATATAAAGTGGACACCAAAATGATTCATGTGTTCCCAGGAGATCATTGGCTTCACTTACCCAGTCAGTGTTTCTTCATACTAAAGTGGGCAAACAGGCAATTTCCAAAACTACTTGCATATTACTTAAAGTGTTCTGTCATTTCTATAATACTGTAACAAGGAATGCCTTTATAGTGTTATATATAGTAAAAGGTTAATGTTTTGGCAACAGAATCTTAGGATCAGGTCTAGTAACTCTCAAGAACCATATATGCCCAAAATCCCTTACTGTGTGTGTGCAAATGTCTGTTTGGGAGTTCATCATGGCTGTGAGTGTGTCTCTGTGTACATCTGCTGTGTGTGTGTGTGAGCGTCAGTATCTATGTCTGTCACTGTGTTGGAAGCCGTCTTGTAGCCAGATCCCAGCCGGTAGCCTTACTTTAGCTTCAAGCTTCCTGCCAGTCTGGGTCACCTAGTGTTTGAGAAGACAGTAATATGTTATTTAAAGTAGTATCTTCACTCATTATATATGGGTTTATTGACTATCAGTTATAAGCATGGAGGTTCGGAAGATCCTTCAGTCCTCTGATGTCGGTGAGTATCTTTTTTTATGACTTAGCTGCAGCTTAGATCAAGGTTCCAACTGCTGTAATGAAATGTCTGGATTTTTACAGCAGCATATTCCAGACAGGGAAGGTCAGAGAAAGTCAGGTTGCTTTTGAGGAGTATACTGCAATGTTTATGAAAAGTGATTTGTGCATTTGTTTACATTAGTTGGTGTTTTCAGGACTGTGACAAGCCAGACATGACTTTTTTTTCAGGGATGCCAGCAAACACAAGCTTCCATGTTTATAGATAAAATGTTTTGTCTGTTTCCTCATCAGTGGAGCATGAACAGATTCAGAAAAGGACATTCACCAACTGGATAAATGCTCAACTCTCTAAGGTACATTTAGATATCATATTTATATGTGATGCTTATAAGATAAATAAACTATTATAGATGAAAACAAAAAACTGCTCACTCCTGATTTTGATGCTTCTGGATGGTTTTATTGCTTTGAATACAGTATAAATAAATAAGAACTGGTGCTTTGTCAAAGATACCCCCAGACAAAAGTTTGCATTTGGCTGTTTAATAGGATATATCTTCTGGAGATTACCTTGGATTGGGGAGAGGCTGGAGTAGTGATGCAGAAAGGGACTGACAAGAAAATGTTAATTCAAGGTTTATATGCTACTCGCAGCATTGGCTAAAATGTAAAAAGGAAACTGCCTTTTGCAGGTATTGCATGCCTTTACTTTTCCTTTAAAGATATTTTTCTTATATATATTCTAAAACTTAACTTTAATTTAGGAGATGTCTCAAGCAAAACATGATCAATAGTATTGATTTATGTTTTGCTCTGACTTTAGCTGCTTTTCAACATGCAATATTTGGACAAGAATGAAAAAAAAAAAATGTTCTGGAGAACTCTACCTAGGTATTATTGAAACATCATGCTGTGGTGGAGCTGTAAATGATATGAAGAAAGCTGTAATCATGCTGAGTCAGTGTTCAGACAGTGAGGTGTAGTGAGGCAGCTCACCATGGATCTTGTTGGAAAGAGGACTTGAGCTGCTTGTGACACTTGACTGGAGTATAAATAGTGCTTCAGTGAAGCAAAACAGCATGTAATCTGAATCCAGCCTCCTCTTCATACCTCACGTCCATATGACTGCGCTCTAAAATCACTGGTTCATAACCTGCCATCTGTTACACCAATCTGAGTGGACTGACAACCCCCACCAGGAGTATTTCCTTTATGTCTGGGGGACAACGTTTACTGTTGTGACTTGACCTAAAGCTTTGACCCGGAAACATTTCAATGAATCAACTGCAGTTGCATGGCAGTAGGTGTTGGAAGGAAGACAGAATTTGTAGGCTCTGACCTTTTTGGGTAAAGGATGCATTTGTAAACTGTGCTGTGTGAAGCATTAAGAAAATTCATGTCATTGTAAAAAAAAAAAAAAAAAAAAATTTAATATAGAATTTTTCAGTGTTTCCCACAAAGTAGTTCACATTTCCTATAAACCCGTTTGCTTCCTGTTGCACTCTGTGGTGTGCAAAAACATAAACAGCTCAGCACTTATTTTTCCATCAGCCTTTTACTTTTTGTTTTACCACATGACACCACATGAACCTGAACTTCCTGTTTTGTATAAAATTATGGCAGTAAATTTCCCACCAAATATGACTCAAGGTTATTTATATTTATTTATATACAGCTGTGGTGGGTGCTTTCATTGCTAAAATTCGTTAGCACAACTTTGATACCTTTTGTAAGCTCTGTTACTTCCTGTTTTGAAATTATCAATGGAAATGAATGTTGTGTATATTGCCTTCATTTGCTGATATTCACAAGGCAAGAAATGCAGTACATTTTATTGTAATTTTTTAACATACAACCTTCGACTATGCATGTTTGTTATCTCAATATCAGTAACATTACTGAAACTGAAGTGTAGTAGATGGAACTAGTGAAATTAAAGAGGGACCATATATATATATATATATATATATATATATGTATATATATATATATATATATGTATATATATTATGAATTGTTCAGCTGGACAGATAAATCAGTAATTTTTGTGCATTGTTACAGAGATGCCCACCCTCATATGTGTCAGACCTCTTTTCTGACATCAGAAATGGGTCACAGCTGCTCGACCTGTTGGAGGTGATGACTGGCCAACCGATGGTGAGTTACTACATGTGCTTCTGATATCAATGAGTTGAATAGATTCTATATTCCTCCATTACAACTAAATAAATATTATTCTCATAATAACGCTGATGTTTATCTCCACAGAAACGACAAAGAGGCCGTGGGGTTTTCCAGCAGAGGGCCAACATTGAAACAGCACTGAACTTTCTCAAGAGAAAATCTGTAAGTTTCCACACACACAAAAAAAACATAGCATCTGAATCCACAGTGTGTTTGGTTAACTGTTGTTATGGTCGGTTGGTGTAGATCAAATTGGTGAACATAAACATCTCAGATATCATAGATGGACGGCCCTCCATCATCCTCGGACTTATATGGACAATCATCCTCCAATGTCATGTGAGTGCCAATGATAAACTAATGCCACCACAAACAGAATTAACCTACTACTGCTAATGTGAGAAAAGGAAGTAGGAGGAGAAACAGAGGAAGACGAAACAAACAAGCATTTCGTGATGCATCATTAATATTAAAAAAAAAAACTTAGTCAAAGTATTGGCTTTAAATTGTACATTTTGGTCATATTTCACATATGGAGGAACCATTTGAAATATAATGATAATTTAATGTCTATTATATTGTTTCACTATCTCTGTTTTAGATTGAGGAGCTGGCCAGCACTCTCTCCTTCAGCTCTTGTCATTCCTCCCTCGACTCTTTGGCCAGCCTGGACTCCTGGTCAGGGAGCCCAGTCCCAGCTAGTCCGGTCCCTGCAGGCCGGACATCGCCTCTCCACAGACGCTTCCGAATGTCCGCCAAGAAGGCCCTGCTCATGTGGGTCAGGGACCAATGCCAAAAGTGGGTTATCTGCAATATATATGAATGCTTAAAACAAAGGCATTACACAGGTGTTTAATTTAAGAAACAGGCTGTAAGTCAGTAACGCTAGCAACATGAAATTTTTTATGAGCAACATTGTGGCTCGGAGGTTGCACTGTTCCACTACAGGACAACTAGTCCTACACTTTTCATTGGCACCACTAATCCCGAGTAGTACTTTGTTTTCTTCCCTCTTTTTTTGTCATCCATCTGTCTTTCTCTCTCTAGGGTTGGATGCTCTGTCAGTATGAAGGACTTCAGGTCGAGCTGGAGAAGTGGTGTTGCCTTCTTGGCCATCCTGTGTTCTCTCAGACCGCAGCTGGTTGATCTCTCACTGGTCCAGTCCAGAAGCAACCAGGAGAACCTGGAAGAGGCGTTCCACCTGGCTGAGAGGGAGCTCCACATCCCCCGCCTGTTGGAGCCACAGGGTGAGGCTGATTAAGTAGTATTGTTGAGTAGTTCTAAGTATTGTTTCACAATAGCATAGCACATTACTAAAACTCATCAGTAAAAAATACCCTGATGGTTATGACAGGGTATTTTCAATGAATACTGCTTTTCTTCACCCATTTTAGCACAGACATAAATGTGTCACATTGATTTTTGTACATGGGTACAAACAGTGGCTGCAGTATAAGAGTTAGAATAAGCAAACTGACACATTACTGCGCCCACAAAAAAACATAACTATTATTTTTCATTATTTCCTACTATATGTCATTCAAGACAACATCGCTTAAAATGACAGTGGAGGTGAGTAGCTGCCAAACTGAACAACAATAAAGACTTTCTGTGTATTTATCTGCGCTACAGATGTTGATGTTAAAGACCCAGATGAGAAGTCCATTATGACTTACGTAGCTCAGTTTCTGCAGTATTCCAATGACATGCCAGCACCTGATGACCATCTGCAGGTAGGTATTCATATTAATATTTTTAATCACACCATCACATTGACTTTCACACCTTCTAAAGACTTTGCTGCAGAACAGAAAGCATTGCTTTTAGAAAAATACATCTTCCCTCATGAAAGTTTAAACTTAAGTCCTGCAGAGTAACAGTGCTACTGTTCCTCTGCTCCTGCTGCTTCCTGTCCCTGTATTGAGCGTGAACCCACAATCTATTGCATGAAACTGAGGGGTATTAATTATTTTCCCTGTTCTCTTCTGGTGGCGGTGGTGTAGCTGTTTCCTCCAGTCCAACCCTTTTCTCCCTCACCTGTGAACTTGCCTGCTCACTTCACTCCAGCAATTGCTGTCTCACCCTTACGTCAGGTACTATACACCAAGCAAAGAAGTCCTTCTTCAGTTAATATTTGTCCAATTTTTATGTCTTTCTCTCAAGTTTTAGTGAAGAACATTTCAGCTGTATGTGTTTGATGTTTATAAGATGCATGGCTATGCATGGAACTTTCCTAATTTGACTTTTCTTAACTTTTCTTAATTTGAAAAACAAAATCCACTGCTGTTTCAGGGTGTTCTCACATTGTTTTTCATAGTTAATACAAAAGTGTAGTTATTGACAATTAAAAAAAAATAATGTAGGTCTCTCCAAGTGAGCGAATACTAGAGATGACTTGCTGGCTGCATCAAGCCTACCAGGAACTGTCAGAGGCACGGATGGCTACAGAAATGTCGAGCTATGCAGAAAAATATCAGGTAAGGCGAAGCACAAATGCTGAAATAAGAAAACTTTCATTGTTGTACAGCGATTAGATGTTGTTGCTGCGTTTGGTTCATCAGGTGTTTCAGAACCTCGCTGACTCCTTCACTGAGCAAAGGAGACCAGTGATGAGCCTCCTTGCTGCCATAAGACGCTGCCCTGAGCTGAGCCAAGAGCAGTGTGCTCTCGTGACAGCGTGGGATCATCTGGAAGAGGAGGTGAGGAAATCCACTGTGGAAAAAAGCAGCAGGGTCACACTCTTTCCTCAGAAGGATTTTAGTCACTCTTGCCCTGCACCCTTATTGCATCCTGTGCTGTTGTTTTATCTTAACATGACTTAATCATTATGCAAAATAGAATTAGAGAGGAAAAACTTTCTCCTGAGGTTTCTTTTAGTCTTTCTGATCTACCTCCTTTGTCTCTCTCCAGATGAATAGGCTTACAGAGCAGTCATTAGACAGCATAACAATGACCAGGCTGTGTATGTGTGTGTCGTTCTTCAGCTGCAGAGACGTAAAGCAGACCTGGACTTGAGTCTTCCTTCTCCTCTGAACTCTGTTGTTGTATGGCTGCAGCGTGCAGAGGCAGCATTAACAGAAGATGGAGGAATAACGCAAGATCACGCAGATGCTGCAAAAAAAGCAAGAGCTCAACAAGACACGCTAAAGGTTATTTTTATTTTGAAGCTGCACAACAAATTTGATCTTTCCTGCTCTCAGAAATCCAAAATGTACAATTTGCAAGGGTTTTGAAATAACATATAAGTCATGGGACACAAATAGGGCAGATCTACATATGAACAGGCAACATAACAATATTTTGAGACTTGAAGCACAATCATCATCTAGTTTATGTGCTAATTATCTTGTCTGCTGTTTTTTTCAGACTTTAATTAAGGAGATGAGCCACCACATCAATATCCTTGACACTTATGACAACATGGATGACTCAGGGAACGTAGTAGTGCCCCTTGAAAAGTTTGATGCGATAAAAAGACGGTACATAATGACTTAATTCTTAGTAAAATCAATATTCCAAAATGGACGTTTAAAGTCATAAAGCTTTTAAGTCCCTTGCATTACAAGTGTATGTAGTTTGGTTACAATAAATTAATGAAATAATGCACTGATGCATTCTGTATTTGAAAACAGTTTAACCAATATCAGAGTCACAGCCAAGTATCAAGGGATCAAGTTAGAATACCAGGAATCCTGTCACACTGTACTGGATCTTCTGGGCAGCATCAATGCTAAGCTTCAGACCTGGAAATCGCCCTACACTTCCCAGGATACAGTACTTGTGCTTCTGCAGGACTGGCATGTAAGTATTTGAAAGAGCCGTACATGAAGCCAGTTCCAACAACACACTAATATGAGCAGCATTATTATGAGATAACAGGGAATGGCATATTATCAAACTAACAGACTAGCTTACATTTTTTAAATCTAGTGAGTGATCTGACATATTATGCTTCCTGAAAAGCCAGCAAAATCGATGACTCATGTTGGTTTGTTGTCTAGGAAACAGTGGAGCGCCAAGGCCAGCTTTTGATTCTGATGGATGCGCTCCAAAACCTGAAAGAAAAGGCAAATGCTTACACTGGCAAGGCAGCACTAAGTATGAGCAAAATTTTTGTCTGTCAAATGTTCTGTAAGCACAAAATCTGTGCCATGCTATCTTAATCTTTGATATGTTGTGAATTCTTGAATTTCTAAAAAGCAAGACTTGACATCCACACTCCCCAGGTCAAGATTCCCAGCTTATTACTCGCCAGGTGAAGGGAGCAGAAGGTGAAGCTGAATTGGTCACACAGGCTGTGACGGCTGTGAGAGGGACGATGGAGAGAGTGGTGTCTGCGTGGGAGATTTACAACAAATGCCTTCCTTCTCTCCAGACATGGGTGGCACAGAACATACAATCGCACACCCAGACTCCTGCTGTAGAGACGCAGGTAAAATCAGTTTGTCCAGAATTTTGTAAAACTCAAAAACATTCCTGTATGACTTTCACTGTGAGGTCCAGTGTTTGAAAACTGAATGACCAATTATTAATGAAAAAAAATCGCTGATTTGGGGTTGCAGGAAGCCCTAGATTCACCTTTTGGTTTGGTTACTGTAGGATATGGGTGAGTGGACTTCATGTCAGGCTAAGTTAAATGAGGCGGGAAATTTGCTCATTGAAGTGACAGAATCTTCAACCAGCCTCACTCTGGCCGAGCAACTCAGGAAGGTCAACATGCAGTGGGCTGAATGCATGAAGAGGAAAATGTTTGTAAGTATGCATGTTCTCACTGCTATTTCTACAGGTAGAACAGACCTAACAGACAGTTAAGATAAAATGCAATGCAACGATTTTAAAGGTTCATGATTTCCATGAAAATGTTTCACAAAAGTAAATGAAACTTTAAACGTAGGAAAAATAGGAGATACAGACACCAATAATGGCTGCTATTCATGAAGCATGTCTTTCTTAGGAAGTGTCATCAGAGCCCAGTGTTGGTCCGAGCTGTCTTCAAATGGTGCATTCACTGACCCAGGAGGCCAGCTGGCTACTGAGGCAGCCACTGGAGGTGGCCTCAGTCCCACTGAAGGCTAACAGACAGAAACTACAGGTTGGCAAAGTTTCAAATTAATGGATGGATAGCTAGATAAAAATCTGCAGCAAAATATAGACACAATTTTTAAATCTGTCCATGTCTGAGCTAGTCTCTTTTTTTTTACTTTGTGTACTTTCTTTTTTATCAGCTACTGAGTAAAAAGATGGCTGAGGTGGACTGTTCATCTCTCAGTCCATCCCAAGACTTTCAAACAAGCCACATAGAGAACCTCCAGCAAAATCTCCCACAGGTACTCTGCTGCATTTCAACAGGCCTCAGTCCATCCAGTTTTTGACTAAACCCATTCTGAAGCTGAACTTTATTAAACCAGTGCACAGGTGAACACACATTCAGTCATGTCCAAGGAGACTAGAAAGAGGAAACACAACAGTTGTTGCCATTGTTACAATTACAACATCTTGATAGGATTTGTTATTGATATATTAACATGTGTACATAGTCCTGCTACCCTGTGTTGTAATATGACAAACTAAGGTTTGGGTTCAGACCTAATTGCTTGTATCTGTACAACAGATGCTTGCTGAAGCAGATAGGACATGTAGAGAGCTACAGCGGGCTGCGTCCAGGCTGGAGGGCCATTTGGCTGAGCTGGAACGCTGGAGCACAGAGGCCCTGGACTGTCTCCAGCACCTAAAGGGGAAAAAGCATGGAGGACACTCTGCATCGGAACCTATGGCCAAAGTCAGCAAACCAAAACTTTATGCACCTTCTAATTTGGCATTATTTAGGTTTTATGATAATGTTATCACAAATTATGCTGAAGCCATTTTCACAAGTGATCTGTGAGCATTGTTAACATGCAGATTACAAATGGTGGCGGCGTGTTGCATATTTGGTGAAACAGGTCCCAGAATTTTAATAATAATGTTTGTGACTGATGTTTTTCACTCTCTTGTCTCTCTTTGTTTGATCTTCATTGTTGTGTTTTTACTGTGTTTCACAATGTCTACTTGTAAATGATTTGAGTACTGTAATAACCCTCCTGGGTAGCGGATGGTACGCATGCACATTGAAATAGGCTAAAACTGGGTTTGAGTAACATGGTTTGAGGCCACAGGGCCACTCAAGCATTCCTTTGGAGTGTATTAAGGGAAAATATAAAGCGTAAAATTTTCCTGTGAAGTTGTCAATCTATGCTAATGATTGGTTTAGGTACTAAAAATAACAATACAATACAGATAACACAGTATCGGCTGTATAATCATTTCAGGTACTGATTTCTCGAGGCTTGCATCTAGAGAACCAGGTTATAACTGAGGGACAGGATCTGCAGGATTTTGTGGTTCAAGTTCAGAAAACCTGTCCTCTGCAGCACCTCAGCGCCTCTTCATTGCAGGACAGGATCTCAGAGGCAGTCTCCCACTGCCAGGTGAGTTAAATAAACTTTTTCTGTTCTTCAACAGTTACTTAGTTATTTGGAGACTATGTGATTTGTATATGTTTTATTTCTTTAGGAGATTCTTGGAATGTTTAGGTCATTTGGGTTTATGCGAGATGTGGAAGCAGACCATCAAACACAGAGACAGCCAGACGCAGGGTTATTTGTTGTGGCCAGAACCAAACATGTAGACCAGATTGGGAACGTTATGCTGCAAATCCAGGACCCAAATCAGGTTTCACACAGGACAATAGGTCTCCAGGTTTGGCCTATAAAGCAACACATGAACAAAGAGGATGGACCAACCATTGTTATACCCAATGTCCAAATCAAGCCTTTGAAGGAACCAGTACATCCTCTTGCTCAAACTGTAGAAGGGGCTAAATTTTCAAAATCCCTCACTCAAACTACAAGTCCAAGTCAAAATGATGGACCAAAGAACACAAAACACCCAGTCCGAGAGGAAAAGCAAAGCTCACCCCCCTCACAAACTCAGATATCGAAACCCAGAGTAAGCGTTCTACAGAGTAATAAAACATCTCCATGGCAACCGCTCATGGTCCACGGTGAAGTTCATTCGAAAGCAAAGTCAATGGCGAGGAGCAGACTGGAGAAGGCCAGGTTTCGTCTGCAAGGACGCATCCAGCAAGCCATGAAGTTATTTGGGGGCAAAGAGATTTCGGAGACACAAGCCAAGAGGAAACAGGTACAGTTTTAATGATGGAAAACAAAAAAGACATCACTAACTGATTTTTTGTGTGATACATTTCAAATTGACTGTAAAGACAGCTTTCTACCCACTTGTTGCTTATCAACTGATTAAAACAGAGCAAATGCTTTTCGTGCTAAAACATCCAAACCTTGGAAACTCAAAATATTATTTCAGAATTAGGCCAAGTTATTTAAAGGTTTGTGGTGTTTCGCTTTGCATAGCTGTCAGTTTTGTCTATGTATGTTTGTCCAGCTTTATGTCTTTCTGTGCAGAAAGCTTTAAAGATTCTGCAGCCTGCCATCCTCGAGGAGTTCCTGGATGCAGTGGAGGGTTTGGGGGCCTTTTGCGCTGGGCCCCAACTCCAGGACTTGATGCTCCTCTCTGACTCAGTCAGAAAGCAGTGGGAGGTATGACAGGGACTGTACACAGAAGATTGTTGCACCCACTAGAAAGAGATGAGCCTCTTCTGTCATAAAGAAAGGTTTAATTGATTTTAAACCAAGTCTAACTGTACTGTAACTGTACTGGGGTGGCTATGGTACAGAGGATAAGACCCAGGTTTAATTCCCTCTGTGACACATCCACCAATGTGACACTTAACCCCTAGTTGCTCCAGAGGCGTTCGACCTCTGATATATAGTAATTGTAAGTCACTTTGGATAATAGCATCAGATAAATGAATAAATGTAAATGTATTCAGTAATTTAAAACACACCTAACATTTACTGGGTTTTATTGTTTTAATACAGTAATTTCTTTAAAAATTCCATTGAGTAAAGCTTAGTAGGGAAAAAACACCTCTAAATGTGTATTATCCCAAAGTGTCAATTTGGTTTCATTTAACTCTTTTACTTACAATGTCTTACTTTTGGGGTTATCCCACCTGTAGAAGAAGATCCTGATTAATTCAGTATTTTACTGGTTTCCCTTAGCTCTAACAGCTGTGATATACCATGATAATCTGGGACCACTGACATATTTCATACAAATTTTGATAAATTTTTTTTGCAAAGTAAGTTTCTGCTTGTTTTGTCACACTCAGGATGTACGCAGAGAAATGGCTGCCTTTGTTCCCATCTTATGGTCTAAGATCAGAGTTGGAAAGCAGTCATTTTCTGTTGTGCAATGTGAAACGCAAACTAACGCTCTGCATGAAGCCACTGACCACACTGACCTTGAGTCTTTGCCGCAGAAACAGGTATTTGCGTAACTTTGTAACATGGCATTAACGTCTGATTGTGCAAACTGTATGATTGTGGCAAAAGATCAGATAGCCAGAAAGAAATATACTTCAGTTTATCAGAAGCTCACATTCCTCCCAGGCTGTCGTAGATGGAGCTGCATCTGTCGAGGAATGGGCTGAATCGCTCGAGGAGCTGTGTGAAACTCTAACACCAAGAAAATCCTCCTGCCTAGCAACAGATCAACTGAGGGAGTCAGATGAAGCACAGGAGACACAACCCAGTGACACAATGCTCCCATCTGACTGGTAAGGTCATGCTATGGAGAGGCATCATGCGGTGTAACATATTAAACATAATCATATTAAAGGTTCAGTGTGTAATATTTCTGAGGATCTATCGACAGAAATGCAATATAAGATCCATAACTATGTTTTCAGTGGTGTTTAAAGACCTTGCATAATAAACCATTATGTTTTTATTACCTTAGAAAGAGCCATTTATATCTATATAACCGTGGGCACCCCCTTCCATGGATGTCGCCACGTCACATCGTCATGTTTCTACAGTAGCTGAAAACGGACAAACAGCGCTACAGAGCGCACTTCGTCACTACTTGTTCTACTTCTGGGTGAATTCAGGCAGTGCAGACACTTGTCACTATGTTGAATATGTACATTAGAAGAAGAAGAAGTAGTAAATAATATACTGCAGGGATCTGCAAATAAGTTGTGCATCAGAGAAATAGTTTTATCTATTAGATCGTGGTTGATAATATAAGCTGTAATATTGCCTTGTGTCAACATGTGCTTTTGTTAGCTCAGTTGGTAAAGCGCAGGACTCACAATCCAAGGGATGAGGGTTCAACCCCACCTTGAGACAACTTCTTTTTCAGATCACAGCATGTGCTGCACTGTTTTTGTTTCGGTGTTTGATCCTCATCCATCAGCTTACCTTTGCAATTCCCCAGTATTTTCAGGCAGAGGACATTTAGGGGGAATCACGTTTTTTGATGGCTCTTTCAGAGGTGTGTCAAGCAGGCTACAGATACTTTTAATGTCATTCAGAATTCTTCAAAGTAAAAGCTCAGTTCAACTCCAAAACTGCATTACAGTAAACAAGCTTCTCTTGCTTTTATTTTGTAGGCAAAACCACTAAAGAGGAAGTGATTGTGTGAGTAACTGTTGCTGTCATGACTGAGATCTATTTCAGCACCTCTATCAAAGTATATATTTATTTATATTTTTGCCCCTATCAGAGCACCGTAATCTGGCAGCAGGCCAGATATTATTGTTGGCAGTGGTCCATAATCACAGAGAGAATGAATGTGTTTCCCTTGTCAATGTTTGTATAAACTTTATCTAATGTGTGGTTTATAATGGACTGTGGTGCAGAAACACCACACTTACTAACTTAATAAATATACCTAAAGAACCCTTGACTGGCCACTTTCTGCTGCCTCAGAAGAGACATCTTTTGTGCTGTTGTCAGCCACCGTAGCTGTCCTACGCTCTGGGTAGTGGTAAACTTCTGATGCCACTAAATCTTACACACTGAGCCTTTAAGGTAGTGAAGGAAATGACAAGATCTGCATCTCTTGTATGTATTTTCTGACATGTCTGCTCTGCTCTGGAGCAAAGTTTATGCATGTCTCATTTGGATTTGTGTTATAACTGAATCTCTAGATTCTAGATATATCTCTAGATTGTTGAAAGTCTGTCGCTTTGTGAAAAATACCCTGAAAAGTATTTATTTTGCATAGTAGCTATATGTAATGTTCCACAACTGTCTTACCACTACGACTACTTAATGGATATTTGTGTTGATAAAGCAACAATTTTAAAATTAATAATTTTTACAAACCTTATTAGAGATAATCATGTCAGTCATATTTTGAAAGATGTCATGTGGTACCTCAAGTCAAGTTTGAGTGCTTATTTTCACCAAACAGGACCTTGTAATCATTATCATCAATTTGCTCTCAAAGTCTAACCCTAGTGCTGCAAGTGTTTGCAGTTGTTTGGTGGTTGACTTGAATTTTGGCTTTTATGTTTATAAAGCCAAAATTCAAGTCAAAAAATGTTTTTTCAGCAAGGAGGCTTACAACTTCTGCCACGCTAAAGCCACTTATTGGTAGGAGGGCACAATAAACATTAGGAAGAACATCAGATTTTAGTTTAAGGATATTTTATATTATTTGACTTAAGTTGGACGGAAATAGGACAGAATTTTGCAGCATTAGAATTAACCCTTGAATCAACGTTCAGCGTCTATTAACTGTGAATTGAATTTAAGTTGATTGATTGAACTGAAGCAGCAGCTTATTTATTAACAATTGTCCACTGTAATTGTTCAAGTCTGTTCATCTTAATGAGATGCCTGAGTGATTCTAACTGACTGGCCCCGACCTCCCCCTGATGAACATTTCTTAACTCAGCAGGGGACGGCCGCTCCATGGAAAGACCCCGCTGAGAGCAACTGGCATATTGGCCGACACGCAGCAGAGCAACAGTCTCCCGCAGAAACAAAGCGTGGACAGCCCACAACAAGACCTCTCACCTGTGGGTAGTGCTGTGTCAGTGCGGCCTCGTTGTGATTTCCTGCAAGTGCAGGCTCAGGATGTCCCAACAGAGAGTGAGGATGACCTGGCACAACGTAGAGGCTGTGGGTCAGGGAAAAATCAAAAGCCCTCACTTCGAGACAAAGAGCAGCCGCTGAAAGCTCGTCTACTACACATCGCTGAGAGCAGTCAGCAAACCGAAACTCATATACAGGTACAAAGAGAGCTTTCATATAGATTTTTTCAGCTCCACTAGGTATTTTAGGACCAGTTTGCACTTCGATACAACTATTTGCATTTTTAAAAGTTTGATGAATGTAACGTAAATAGCTTCTTTGTAGTGTGTGGTCAATATGGAGGTGGTTTCAATGACACTTGCTAGGTCCACTTTTCTTTGGATGTAGCACACATTCACAGAAGTTTTGTATCCACTCTTCTGTACTCAGCAGTAGTTCATAATTTGGGTAAGTCAAGCAGTTATGTGGCATGTAACACTTTCCTCTGTTACATCCAAACTAATATGACACATGATAAGACATGACACGTATGTTTTAGATCAAACAAATTTTTAAATCCTAGACTTCCATGTTTCTGGACATTTTGGACGTTTTAGGATTAAAGTTAAGAGTATGCTTTCCACCTGCAAGCCAGAGTCTCACTAGAACATGTGTGCATTTTCCTGAAATTCTTCATGTTTTCTTTTACATAAAAATGTTGCCTATGAAGTTTTGAATTTGATATGAGACAGGTTTTGTTTTATGTTGCCATTACAGGCCGATGGTAACACAAAGTAAAATGCTATGATGTGACTTGTTGCATAAAGCAAATTATTTTAGACATTATATGTTGCACGTTAATTGCCCTAAATTAATCTTATTTACTTTATATATTGCATTTAAAGTGTTCTTTCCTTAAGTCTTCCTGGTCAGAAAATAACTCAGCATTTTCATTGGCTGACCTGTACAAGACACAGCACCAGC